ACCTCAGGCCCTGTGTCCATCCCTTCATGGGGGCAGTGGGCTCAGCGCTCGCCCCACGAGTCCTCCCAGGTGTGCTGTGGTCCAGCGGGTCGCTGCCTGCAGGTCCCTGAACTGCTCACTGAGCCCCTCGGCCGACAGCAGGCATCTCCTTTAGGCCTGGTTCTGAGAAGAGTTGCAGGAGCACAGAGTTCCATCTCCCAGTGCCCKGGTTCCCCTTGACGCTGTCCAGTGTTGGCTCTTGGTCCCTCCTGCCCCTTCTCTCCTCCTGTCTCCGCCACGCCCACGCTTCTCCCTGACCTGGGGAGAGGGCGGCAGAGAGCAGGCTCCTTGTACGGAAGGTGTGTTCCTAGGACAGCACGTTTTTTCTCTGTCTAGAGCAGGCTGGGGAGGTAGCTTGGTGGCAGAGAGCTGGCCCAGCACGCACCAAGCCCGGGTGCAGTCCCCAGAAACAAGCAGGACCAAAGAGAATTTCCAGAGTGTCGGCGCCTGACCCAGGGATGGGCACAGCGGAGGTCTCCCCGCTRCCTGGTAAGGCCACCCAGTGCAGGACTCTGCCTGTCTTTCCAGCTGTGTGCCTGGCTGGCTTGGGTCTTGCTGATGTCCCTTGGTTTGGATTTGCTTGATTCTTGCTTGTGGTCAGAATCAGGTGTCGTCCCTGGCCAGAACACCCCCAAGGATGCCTCCTCTTCCCTGGGTGGCAGATCAGGAGCCTCTGGGGCCCAACTGAATCTGATGGGGATGTCAGTTGTGTCCCCTACCCCGTCACCTACCCGTCAGGAGGTACAGTGGACTGTCCATGCCCAGCCTCTCATTGTCCTTGGGGCTCAACCCGTGGTGGTGGCTGGTGGGTTCTGCTTCTGCCACTCAGTGCTGGGAGGGCTGCTGTTCTGCAGGAGTAGCCCCACCTTGCAGGTCCCTCCGGTGAGGAGGACCCCTGCCCTGTGCCCCTCRTATGCACCTTGGGGAACTCCCTGTCAGTGCACCTCTTAACTCTGATGGTGGAGGTGGGAGACCATTGTGGGCTGYACCAGCCTCTGGACTGCCTCTGCCCGCTCCACACACGTCCCCAGGCTTGGGGCRCGTGTCCTGCACCAGTGCTGGAATCCCCTCCTCCAGGGCTACCTGCACAGGGGCTCCGGGAGCTGAGCCCAGGTAGCTCCTGCACGCCTGGCTCCAGCGATGGGTTAGGCAGCTGTACACACACGTGTGTGGTCACGTGCACTGTGCACATGTGTAGAGGTGGAAGACCTCTGTCGCTCTGACATGTGCCGTGGTTTCACGGCCAGCTCACTCTGGTCTGCGCTCCCTGGACAGTGGAAGCTGGCCCAGTTACCCACAGTGCCCTGAGAGCTAGCTCAGACCTATTCCGCCCTTGCCAACACACGAGGTCATTGTGGTGTGGCGCACCCACCGCTCTGTGCACAAGGGACTGGGGACTGTAAGGTCACATCTGGCTGCCAGCCAGGGTCTGTCTGTGTTCGGGGTGCAATAGCCCTCACCCCTGCTTGGGTCCTGACCTCTTGGGGTCCCCTCTTCATGTTGGATTTAACTTCATTTGAGCACATGAGACACGAATGCCGTTTCAAAGACGCTTCTCCCTGGATGCGCCGGGGTGGCGCAGCTTGAAAGGCCTGGTTCTGCTGCTTATGCAGAATAGAGCTGGCCTGGTGGGGGGGAGCCAGGCCGAGTGAGGAGGCTCGCTCCCCAGAGGAAGGCAGCCACGTCCCTGCAGCTGGTCCTGGGGACCTTCGGGGGTGTCAGGTGGAGGGCAACACCTGCAGCAAGGGTGCTGCCACCCAGGCTCTGCATGTCCAGCATCTTTCTCCCAGAGTGCCTTTGTTTCAGAGCGCGCGCGTGTGTGCGTGCATGTGTGTGCGTGCGTGTGTGTGTGTGTCCTCTGTGGATGTCCTGGCCCCACCTCTGGGTCATGCACGTGGCAGCTGCAGCTGGGAGCTGCCCRAGAGCATGGTCAGGGACTGTGCAGAGGCATCTCTGCTGGTGCTGCGGGCTTCTGTGGAGGTGGATCACACGTGGGGTCAGGTGGCCTGGCAGGAAGGCCAGTGTCCCTCCAGAGTGTGTCCACCCTGCCCTGCTCTCCTCGCTCCTGAGTCCCCTTGGCCCTGGCTCCACCAGCCTGGCTCCCCTTGGGCCTGGCCCTGCTACCATGTGTCCGACTGAAGCACGGCCASCTGATGCATCTTGTTCCTGGTCTGTGGCTGTGTAGACAAGGCCTGGCTTGGAGTCCACTCCGTGGCAGTCCCTGTGGAGAAGCACATCCGGGGGAAGCCCGCTGCAGAGCCCTGGACATGCTCACTGGCATGCATGGAAGTGCATGCATGCATTTGTGTGCATGTATGTGCACACGTGTGTGCGTGTGTGCATGTGTATATGTGCGTGTGTGTGCACGTGTGGGTCTGCAGACCTGTTCTCTCTCACTTTCCACTCACTCTGGCACAGGACCAGCCCCGTTCTCAGTTCTCGTCTGTGGTGTGARGCGTAGCCCACCTCCCTGGAGGTCCTGGGGCTGGAGCTGTGCCTGAGGTCCCCATTGGGCCAGTCCAGGAAGAACGGGCCGAGTGTGCAGGTCCTGGGGTAACCTGGGGCTGGGCTCAGTGGGAAGGTGCCTCCACAGGTCCCGCAGGGTCCTCACGCGGCACCTGGTTAGACCACAGGCAGGCCCTGTGTGGCTATGGCCCCYGCCCCAGCCGGCAGCTCTTGGCAGAGGACCTACCTTCCTGTTCTCACCTGCCATCCTGAGGGCCCTGGGGCAGGGATGAGGGGAACCTGGGGTGCCCAGGGCAGTGGGTGCCTGGTGATTCCCGGTGGGGCCTCTGGTCAGTGGCATGCTGGCCCTGCCAAGGTTTCCCCTGCTCCGCCTGTGTTTGGGACATGTGACCAGGTGCCACATTTCTGGGCCTAGGAGTGGCTTGGWGTCAAATTCAGGACTGGGTGCTTTGTGTTCTTTGGAGGCCTGGGCCCTGAGGGCCTTGATCATTCACATCTGGGGCTTGGGGCCTCCGTCTGGCCTCTCCTGAGCCACAAAGGCCAAGGTGGGCCTGGACACATCAGGGTGGGCCAGGTCTGCAGGGTCAGGTCCGTGGGGTCCCTGGTGACAAGCTGTGCTCTGAACCAACAGAATCACTGTAAGGCCAGTATAATCTGCCAGGATCTAGGGGATCTGAAACTCAAAGCTGCTGTCAAAACAAGAAGACAAACTGACGGGTGTGCCCTGCGGCTGTAGCGCAGGAGTCACTGACGGTCGGCCACCTGCAGGTGGGATTCTGGTTTTTAAAATGTCTGTCCCCAGTGTGTCAGAAAGCACAGAGGCACCTCACGGSCAGGCCCAGCTGAGGGCTGTGTGGGGGCCCAACAAGCAGATACCCTTGCAGGGTTGCTGCCTCGTGCAGCCTGGCCTCTGCTCGCTCTGCAGGAACCGGTGGCCTGTGAGCACGGGCCAGGTGCTGACCGCCCTGCAGTGTGGTTCACTCGGGGTGCCCCCTGCACCCTTTGTCTTTGTTTTCTGAGGCCGGAGTCTCTTCCTGGGGCTCCCAGGGGGCGCCACCTCTGGTCTGTCAGCTTCGAGATGCGCTTCCTCTGTGCACCGCCAGACCGCGCTGCCCRGGAGCTCCAGTGCTCATCTTGCAGCGGGACACCCCTCGTGACCTTGTGTGCCCCACCGCATGCCCCTGTCCCTAAACAGAGGGGGCGAAAGAGGCCTCCTGCAGTGCCCAGGGCCTTCCAGTGGGTCACGGCAGCCCCTGGAGTTGGGTCCCCAAGGTGTGGCCCCTTTCTTCCAGGACTGTGACGTGACCGAGACCCCAGAGGTCTGGGTGATATCAGGGCCTGCTGCTGGGCCTTCCCTGGAGGGTCCCAGTTGGGTCTGAGCCCCTCCAGGCATGAGCTCTGGGCTTGGTGGGGAGGCAGCTGCTGGCTGAGGCGGGGCAGCTGTGGACCCGCCTGCCAGGGTGAGCCACAGCCTCCCGCCTTCCCTGTGGGTGCCTCTGTGGGCACCYACAGGGTCCTGGGCCCTGGCGTAGCCTCCCCGGGGCGTCCCCTTCTGTTGCTGAACCTGTTCCTGGTCTCCCACCCCTGCTGCTCAGGGCCACCCCGGCAGCTCCCGCTGCCTCCCTGCACCTTCCCGCCAGGCATGGGGTGAACGCAGGGGCCTGGGGGTCCTGGAGGAGTGCTGCCCAGCCCYTCCCATGGTCCAGTCCGGCCAGTTTCCTAAGTGGTCACAGTGTGCACGGCAGGGGCGGTCACTGAGGTCGTCACATGGTCTGTGGGGACCTGAGGCCTTCCTCGGGCTGGAGGAGCACCTGGCAGCCAAGCTCGTGCTTGTCCCCGGGATGGGGAGTCTCGCACTCCATGGACCCCAGGAGGSAGCGGGTGCCCGGGATCCCCTCTCACCCTCCGGGCCACTGGGTTTGTCCTGGGCAGGGCGCGGCATGGCCTGGGGATGGTGGCCCTGGTTTCTTGTGGCTGGAGTGTGGTAATCCAGGAGTCCTGCGTGTGTGGTCCTGTTCAGTAGCCCCCAGGGGTGGGCAGGGCTGGTGACACCGCCTGCGGGGTTGGAGGTCAGAGGCAGAGAGGGTCTGGTCCTGGTGTCCACGTCCCACCATGAGGACCCCCGAAGGCTCACAGCTCTGGTCTGAGGATGCCTGTGACCTCGGGCTCCCGGCACCTGCAGTCTGGTGACCAGAGGTCCTGACCATCCAGTTTCTGCTGGGGGAGACAGGTCCAGCCTCCCCCAGCTTCGGACTGTGGGGTCCAGGCCTACCAGGAGTCCTGGAACTCGCCAGGAGCCCCCCACCCCAGGGAGGGCAGTAGGAAAGCAGCTCCGATGTACTGACCCTGGGTCAGACGGGAGACCCTCGAGGCTGGGGACGCACGGCTGTGTGACCACGCTGGGGTGAGGGCCTGAAACCAGTTGTTTGGGGGAAGGAGAGTTCGCCGTAGCCCTCGTCGCCCTTGGCCCTGAGGGACGCTGGCCTTTCTTGCAGGAGATGGGAACCCCAGGGAGAGCAGCCCTTTCCTCAGCAGCGTGGAGCTGGAGAGGGAGAGTCACYTGGAAGGGAAGAACATGGCGCTTTTTGAGGTAACTTTGGGTGCTCAGGGCAGTGCCTTTCACCCAGAAAAGTAAAGCAGCCCCAGGCTGGCGATGGGCGCGGGTCCAAGGCCAGGGCCATCCCCCTCTTCACGCTGGTGGGCAGAAGCTGGGCAGCCCTGCCCGGGCCTCTCCACTCCTCATGCACACAGATGCCAGGCGCCCTCCGGGGGCCCTGGTCTGGGCTGCTGGCCCTCTGGGAGCCTTTGAGCCCCGAGCCCAGACCATCTCGAGGGCCCTGGCCCCCCCCGTGGGTGTGGGTCCCCTGGCCCTACTCCGTGCTGACCGACTCAAGCCTGTTGGGCAGGTCACCAGGGCCTCTCTGGCTCCTGGCAGCCTGTGGCTCGGCGCCAGCGGTGGGCAGAGGGGCCTGCTGGCCTCGGGTGTCGGAGGACCTGACTCACGTGCCTGTGCCTGGCACTTCCCGCCTCACAGGAGGAGATGGACAGCAACCCCATGGTGTCCTCCCTGCTGAACAAGCTGGCCAACTACACCAACCTGAGCCAGGGCGTGGTGGAGCACGAGGAGGACGAGGACAGCCGGCGGAGGGAGGCCAAGGTACCGCCACGCTGCCCTGCCGCCTTGTCCCCACCCGTCCCCGCCCATGCTGACCGCTGGCCGCAGGCAGCCCTGGCAGTGTCTGGTCAGGATGCGCTCAGTGTCGCGYTCAGTGTCACGGCAGATCAGCCTTTCTTTCCCGAGGTGCCTGTCACCTTCGCTCCCCTCGGGCCTCAGCCGACACCTAGAACATGGGCCACACCTGGGTGTGGTCAGGTTGTGCCCTCCCACCTGAGTCTGTCCACACTGCCACCCAGAGGGGAGCGGCCTTCTTCCCCTCTGCCCAGGGTCCTGCAGGGCTGCCCCCTGCCCTCCGCCCCCACCCTCTGCCCTCTGCCCTCTGCCCTCTGCCCCCTGCCCTCTGCCCCCATCCTCTGCCCTCTGCCCCCTGCCCTCTGCCCCCTGCCCCCTGCCCTCACCGTTCCCCCTCAGCACTGCCCCAGCCTCATGGCCGTTTCCCAGGATGCATTGCTGGAGGATTTCTCCCGAGGAACCCCTCCTGAGGAAGAGTGGAGCCCCAGGGAGGGTTCTGTGGGGGACGGCTCCGGGGGGGTCTGGTCTTTCGATAGGGGAGCCACAGGAGGAAGGTCCCTGACCGCAGGACGGTGCCTCAGCAGGGACGCGGGGTGGCCCCGGGGAGGGCCGCAGACTGGGGCGGAGGCCCAGATCCACGCAGGTGTCCGCGCGTCCCTTCCCCCGGCTTCTTGCAAACAGATCCAACAAAGAGCCTGTGGAGCAGGCCCACCTCCCGAGGACAGGAGGGCTTGACCGGTCAGGCTCCCAGGCTCCTCAGAAGCCAGCGTCCCGGGTCGGCACGGGCTCCCCCAGTCGGGCCGGGAGGAGGTGTCCCCTGGTGGTGCCTTTCCACCTCGCTCCACCCACCAAGGCCCCGTTTCCTGTGGAGGCTGGGGTCTGCGGTCCAGGAGGGCTGCTGAGGCAGGAGCTGGGTGCTTCCATCCCGGTGGTCCCCCTGTGGGGGTGCGGCCAAGGCCCCAGGGTGTCCAACGGCCGGAGGCCTCCCCAGCCACATCCTGAACACCTCCCCCGTGAGCGTCCAGCCTGACCTTGGCCTCCACAGCCCTGGGAAGTCGGGCCTTTACGAAGTGCCGGACGTCCCCCTTCCTTCCTCTTAACATAAACACAGCAGAACCAGCACCGCAATTCTGAGATGTGGGGCCAATGGGCTGTGGGGACCCGGCCACGTGACCCCCGGGGGCAGGCACAGGGGCAGTGTCCTCAGAAGCCTCTGGACCACACCTCCTGCGGTCCCCTGCCGGGGCCTGCCCCACTGCCGGGCACAGACTTTGCATAGGGGAAGGGGTCGTGGTGGGGATTGGTGCCTGCCCCGGCACTGCCTCGTGACACACAAGTGGCCTCAGGACGAGGCCTGCTTGGTGCAGACAGATGGGTCTGTTCCCCCRTCCTGTCTACTGGAACCTGTGTCGGGGACACCTTGACCCGTGCAGTGTGTGGGGCCTGGTCTGAACACTCCTGCCCGCAGCCCGCAGCCTCCTCCCACCGAGCTCTCCAGCAAGTGTCTAGTTGGTGGACTTGTGTACAGAATGCCCAGGTCAGGCCCTAGGACATCCCCATCCCACCCAGGCACCCAGCTCTGGCTGCAGTGCCCTGGAGGATGTGGTGCTAAGTTTCAGTCGATGCCAGGACAGGGCCACCTGTGCTTCTCTGCAGAGCCCCTRTGTCCTGAGGTGGTCACCCTGCTCAGGGGACCGGTGAGGGCCCGGGATGGAGGGGCTGGGGCTTGCCTGGTCCCCCTGCCGAGCACACTGCTTGTTGGAGGCGGACACTGGCTTCTAGCCAGGACCATCGGTCTGAGCACCTTCTCAGCATGTCCATTTCCTGAGCTGTGACTAGTCAATGGACCTCTGCAAGCGGCCTTTCAGGAGTAAAGTGCTCTTCTAGAGGACGTGGGTCCCGGCGCTGGCCACAGGACGAGCTCCAGGATGCTAGGACCTGGAGCTGTCCCAGCATGGCTCTGCCTGGAGGGCTGCTCTGTGTCCAGGGTCCGTGGGCTGTCCACACCCTGGGTCAGCCTTCCTGGGGTCGGCCGTGGCCTTGTGTCCGGGGCATTTTACACCGTTCTTGCCTTTTCCCAGCTGAGAATCCCAACRTCTGTCTCTGCCCACTTGACTTGCAGAGCTCAGAGCGAAACCACCTCTGTCACCTGCACCACAAATGCTGTCGCCCAGGCCCGTGGCGGGAGGTGTGGGCCAGCTCTGCCCTGGCTCGGCTTCCTTGTGTGCAGCTGCTCAGCCCAGCGGGGGCCTCACTGCCGGGTCATCCCGGGGCTCAGAACTAGGCTCCTACTCTCAGACCAGAGCTTCCCTTGCACCCAGGACCCCCAGGGCCTCAGGGTCACAGGGCCTGGGGCTCCCTTCCACCCCATGGCCGCCACCCCATGACCACGAGTCCCCCTGGGCGGGCTCCCTGGACAGCAGTGCTCTCTTGCAGGCCCCGCGCATGGGCACCTTCATCGGCGTCTACCTGCCCTGCCTGCAGAACATCCTGGGTGTCATCCTCTTCCTGCGCCTGACGTGGATCGTGGGCGCGGCCGGCGTGCTGGAGTCCTTCCTCATCGTCTCCCTGTGCTGCACCTGCGTGAGTGGCCGGTCTCCCTGGAGGCCTGGGGGTGGTGTCCTTGCCCGCGGGAGCCTCCGTGGCGCTGGGTCCCTGTGCGTCCGGCTGGGGCTCTGTCCAGGGGTGGGAGGTCCTTGGAGAAGCTGGCCATTGTCCCACGGAGCCTTGCCCGGCACACTGTGGGGAGCTGACAGCCCCCACCCCGTGTCTCGTGCCAGTGTGGTCGGGGTGCCACGGGCCTGTCCCCATCAGCAGGGCCTGTGGTTTGCAAGGTTGCTGTCCAGTTCGGAAGGCCTTAGGCACTTCCAGGTCCCCGTTGGAGGGACCAGGACCCAGGTTCGTCACCCCTTCAGGCCAGACGTGGGGCGCCAGGGCTTCTGCCTCCCTGCGCTGGCTTCTCTGCCACCGCGGCTGCCTCGCCCAGGTGGTCCTCTGGGTGCCCAGCCCCCAGCCCAGCTCCTCCCCTGCTCTGGTGAGGAAGAGCTGCTCTAGTCTCGGGGTGACCTGGGGTGCCCTCTCTGGGAAGGACTCTTCTTTACCCTCCCCCTGCCCCAGACCTCACTGTCTGTCCTAGCTGGTCACTCCTGGTGCCCAGAGACAGGCTCTCCTGAGCAGGGGCRGGTAGCTGGAGGCAGGCCCTCCCTGGCTAACTGGACACCATGATGCCCCGGGGAAGTGGGCACTAGGTGGGGCCACCTGTACCCTGCTGGGTACACACCTAGAGGAGTACCTTGTGCCCATGAGTAGGCACAGGTGGACCCCTGCCTGGGTCCCTAGAGGAGGTGGACACCTAGTGGACTCTGCCTTTAGGGCTGGGCAGTGTCCCAGTCCAGGGTTCGCCTGCRGGTGCGAGGGGAAGCTTTGTGGTGGGCAGGAGAAGGCAGTGGCAGGGCCTGCTCCTCTTGATCCTGGTCACTCGGGGGCTCCTCTGAGATGAGGAGCCCGGGAGTGAGTGGCTGGGCCCCAGGCAGCCGGGGTCTGTGCCTGGGGCAGCTTGGAGTTGTCCTCCCAGGCTGCCTGTCTCTCTACAGACGATGCTGACCGCCATCTCCATGAGTGCCATCGCTACCAACGGTGTGGTCCCAGGTAAGGGGCGCCTGCCCTTGGTCTGGAGGAGTCTTGCACAGTGTGGTACCTGAGCCACGTGCACGTGGAGGTCGAGTCCTGTCTGCTTCATGGTGATGGTGACTTGGACCTTAACCCTTCGACGGAGGGTGGCCTGGGCATTGTGCTGCTCAGGGATTGCACAACGTGGGCCCCAGTGCAGACACACCTCTACCTGCCTGCTGTCCTCTGTGACTGAGGATGGCGTTTTGTGTCTAGGAGGCAGCCTGGGCTCTCCTGGAAGCCCTGCTGCCCTGTGTGYGGGCAGTGCTGGCCTGTAGTGCCCTGCCCGGGCCGGGGCAGGTGTGTTGCTGCGTCTGTGTGTGCTGCTGTCTCGGCTGCTTGCTGGAATGGGCTTGGAAGGTGCTGGACTTGGCCTCTGCTCTCTGGACAGAGGCGGGTGCTCACCATGGCCCCAGGCCTTTTTGGTTCTGAGTTCTAACTTGCYGTGGACCATGTTCTTTAGCATGCAGTAGTACTAAGCAGGCGAGGTGGCCCAGCCCAGGGCGTGGGGAYGCCTGTGTGCGGGCTGGCCTGGTCCTGTTCCTTCTTGCTTCTCTTTGTCACTTGAGCCCGAGGCGTCCCACCTGTTCACTTGTCCCTGCGTCACCATGTAGTTGCCCCTGCAGGGAGCAGAACGGGGTCTGGAAGGCCTGCAGCCTGGGGCCTGTGTCCTAGGAAGGTTGGTCCCAGCTAGAGGGGCAGCGGGATGCCCCCTCCAGACGAATAAGGGAAYGGTGACGTGCTAGTGGACACACGCGTGATAATTAACAAGCACATCAGTTCACAGCCCGGGTCGTGACCACCCACTGCCCCTCCTGTCCCTGAGTGGGCAGCTGAGCTTGCTTTGCACTGAGGCCCTGGATTCCGCCCTCTCCCAGCCTCTGCTGGCTGAGCTCAGGACAAAGCTCCGTGGCCAGGCCGTGGTGCTGCCTGGGGAGGGCTGTGCGGGTGCTGCCTGGGGAGGGCTGTGCGGGTGCTGCCTGGGGAGGGAGGTGCGGGCAGGATTGGGGTGGGGGAGGGTGCACCCCAGGAGTGCTCTGGACCTTCCTGATGTCCTGCTGAGGTGTGATGGTCTGAGTCCACCCACTTGTTGGTGGACAGACCAGGGAGGGGTGGCAGGCCATGGCCACCACCATGCCCTGAGGGCTCTTTAGGGTGAYGCAGAACGCACCCAGCAGCTCCCCRAGGACTTGGCTCCCTGATTTCTTTTTTTAACTGAAGTCACATGGACCTCTTGGTGGGAGCCACTTGGACTCTGGGTGGAGTGGCTCTTGACTGCCACCCACGCCATCCTCTTTCCACAGGAGGGCTGGCACCAGGGCTCAGGGTCCCCTGCAGTTTTGAGGGTGGGACTGGGCCAGGTCCCTCCGCAGGGCCACGCTTTGCCATCTGGTTCCCAGGGGTGCGCTCCCTGATGGTCTGCTCTCTCTGCTGCTTGTAGCTGGAGGTTCGTACTACATGATATCCCGCTCGCTGGGGCCTGAGTTTGGAGGGGCCGTGGGTCTCTGCTTCTACTTGGGCACCACCTTTGCAGGCGCCATGTACATCCTGGGCACCATTGAGATCTTCCTGGTGAGTGTGCGGWTTGCTATGTCCCTTGCCAAGGCCTTCCACCCAGGGACCGGTTTGCMTGCTGCTGAAAGGGCACCATCCACGCCTCCCCCTTGGCACCAGGCTGCCCCTCTGACTGTGCCCTGCCCTACACGCCCCCTGCCTCCTTGCCTTGGGCTGTGGATGGGTGCCAGCTGCTGTGGTAGGTGTCCCTCGGGACACCCTCATGTCCTCTGTGAGGAGCACCTGGTGCTTCCMGAGCGTCTGAGCCCTGGGTGGCAGTGTGGCCTTGTGGTCTGTGCGCTCAGGAGAGAGGCCTGGAACCCCCTGCACGGCCCCTTGACAGGATCCTGGCCCCACCCTGTTGTCCCTGCTTCTGGACGCACCTTCTGGGCGGTGTGTCTGCTCAGCGGCTGCCGCTGGCTGGTGGTCGGCGTCCTCAGTGCGAAGCTTTCCCCAGGTTGGAGTCGGAGTGCCCGCCTGAGTGTTTGGACTGAGCAGGACAAGGGTGTTGGCCTTGAGTCCTGGACCTTACTCTCCCCTGCTTGCTGGACCCCAGAGCTGGGGTGGGGCTGGCCTCTGCTCCGAGCGGCCCCCCTGCAGAGGAGGCCCTCCTGCCTTCTCACAGGGGGACACGCAGCCTGGGCTCCCACACATTCTGACTCAGGTCTGGGCCAGGGCCTGGGACTGCTGCTGGTACCCAAAGMTGGGTCCTTGTCCCCAATRCCAATCCAGTAACGAGGACGTGGTTTTGAGAAAAAGGAAAAAGAAGGTTCATTGCTCTCCTAGCAAAGGAGAAACCCAGGGGACTCCTGTCCCAGAGGCTGTGATTCTGCCCCTCAGCAGGACCA